CCCTCCCTCCCTCCCTCCCTCCCTCCCTCCCTCCTTCCTTCCTTTCCAGACAGGGTTTTTCCATATAGCCTTGGCTGTCCTGGATCTAGCTCTGTAGATCATGCTGACCTCTAACTCAGATCTGCCTGCCTCTGCCTGCCTCTGCCTAAAGGCATGTCACCATAAGCCCTATGAGTGCCTCTCTTTGGGTTTGTTTGTTTATTTTTGTTTTTGGTAGTCCTAGAAGTGGAACTAGTTCTAGCATGTGGGACTTCACACACGCTAGGCAAGTGCTCGACCGATGAACCACACTCTGAGACTTCATCTTTCCTCTTATGTCAACCTTTTTTAAAAAGAATTTTTAAACTGTGTATGTGTGTGAACCTTTATGAGTTTATATGTAGCATGTCCATGCAGGAACCCCCCAGAGGCTAATCATAGGATTTCAGATTCCCTGGAACTGGAGTTACAGATGGTTGTGAGCTGCTGTGTAGGTGCTGGGAATTAAACCCAGGTTCTCTGGAAGAGCAGCAAGCATTCGTAACCACCGAGTCTCTTCCCTAACTCCAGCTTAGTCGTAGTAATCCCCTCAGATACCCCTTAGAGCAAGCTTCATATTAGTAAACATATTAGAAAACATTGATTGAATGAGTGAATGAATTGTAAAGTTCTTTGTCTTATGTCACAAACTCATCTCTGCAAACAAACAGACAAAATGATAAAGTTAAAAGTAAACCCAGAGGGAATTTCCATAATAGAAAGCTCCCAGACTCAGAGTTGGCTCAGTGGTTGAGAGCACATATTGCTCTTGCAGAGAGGTTGAGTTTGGCCCCTAGCCTCTATGTTGGGTGCCTCACGCCCACCTCTAACTTCAGCTGTAGAGGGGCCTCTAGCCTCCTATGGCACTTGCATGCATATGCAATATCTATACACAAGTGCACATATATTACATAATAAAAACCAATTACTTGCTGCTCATCCAGAGGACTTAGGTTCAATTCTTAGCACTTTTATGGCAGTTCACAATCATCTGTGACTCTAGTTCCAGGCCCTTTTCTGGTCTCTGAGGGCACCAGAGATGGACATGGTGCACATACATACATACATACATACATACATACATACATGCCAAATACCAACATGCACAAATAAAACTGAAATGAAATGAATAAGCAAATAGATCTCTAGCAGGAAAAACTCCCCTCATGTAAAATCAGATGTAATTGATAATCATACCAGGTTCTGATAAAATATAGCCAGAAATATAGTTGTCTTGTTTCTTTTCCTGTGTTACACTGCATTAATCTGTAAATAAGACACATGCTTTCCACGTGGTGGTGAAGATGACTGCCAGCAGCTGCAGGCTAACACCTGAGCATCCCGGGAGGGGCTGCTTCCAGATATTTTAGCTACAATGTTAGATGGGATGCTTGTTGGCCCCTTTGGCTTTTCTATGCTTCTAGAATTAGGGATCATGTGATCACTTCTAGACTCTCTTCCTCCCAACCTAAAACGTGAACTGAGGAGTGAAGGTGGCCAGGTGTGACGGCCCATGGCTGTAATCTCAGCACCCTGGAGGCTGAGACAGGGGGATCGCTCAAGGTAGATCTTTGGCTGGGCAATGTCAACAAGTTCAAGACCAGCCTAAGCAACTTAACGACCCCCCTCCCTCTCTCTCTCTCTCTCTCTCTCTCTCTCTCTCTCTC